TCCTTACCATCTGTGATGAAAGTAACCTCTTCACTGGCTTTTGGAGGGGCCTGCTGGCCAGCCTCTTGCCTCAAGGCTATGGGCCATCTTGCCTCAAGGCTAAAAGACTCTGTTCATGTGAAGTATGTACTTTTGTACTGCAGACAGAGATACCGACCATTAGTCCTAATTCTCTGGAACTATTTTTTGGGCATGGGACCATGTGCACGGTCGGTGCACTTTTATGGGGATATGTTGTATTTTGGGGTTCTTATTGGACTTTGTAAAAATTTGAGTTTTTTCGGCCTTGGGATTATTAAGTTAATGCATTATCTGCCTTAATTATATCACAGGCAGAGGGGAGGGATTGTGTACTGTATGTGGGAGTGTCATTCATTGTCACATTGTTTTTATTAGCTTGTACACCTTTTGTCCCTGTGCCCAACAAGGTCCACCTGGGCGTCGCCCTTGTTGGGAAACCTGCATAAAAGGCCAGCTGTGGCTTCTGTCAGTATATTTATATCGGCAGACATTTTGTGTTAAGATAGAAATTAAAAGTGTATACTGCCAGTCACCCTCAGAACAGAGGTGACTCTATTTTGTATTACAAGACTAAGACAGACACAAGATTTCTCTATATGTTAATCTATTCATTCAAGTCTGAGCTAAGGAATGCAACTTATGTAAACAAGCCAAGAAACCAGACAGACACCAGATAACACTAAGTAATTAATTTTACTTTCTAAAAAATTAACGTAACATTACTAGTTCCATTGTAAGAGAAAGTGTGAAATTAAGGTTGGGAGGTGTCAAATCTAATTTTACGACCAAAATTGCAGACACCAAGACTGAGAAAATGCTTTGAAATTGACAGGTTCTTTGATATATAGTAGCCATAAAGATAACAAAAACTACGTAAAAAACTCTTAAAACTTTTCTATTTTCCACAAAATTCATCATACTTGCCTTCGAAATTCCTGGGACATATCTACACATCTGATAGAAAATCTACACCCTAACTGGTAATTATGCTGGTTTTATTTAGTTAAATTTAATTAATTAAATTTTCTAATAGCAGGAATATATATCTGGATAAATCTTGGTCAGATTTCAAATATTAGAAATCACAATTAGCTAAGGAATATATGGTTTTAAAAATCCCATTCCTGCAGGTGGCATAAAGATAACAATATATTAACGGTAAATTTGCCAAATGTTAGCATACCAAATTTTTATCCAGAGGCCTTGACTTGTTCTGATATGAGATAGTGAATCTTAATTACAAAAGTTAAAATTCTGCAAACATAAAATCTGGTAGAATTATTCTTATTGGATGGACAGAGGAATGGTCAAATTATCTGGTATGAGCATTACTTTAATTGTAAAATTGCAATATAATAGGATATCTTGCCTATGAGGATTTTAGCCAGCAGTGGAAGAGTTAATTCAGTGTGATTTGACTGTCCGACAAAGTTTTTATTGCTTTACGCTGTGCTGCTGTGTTCTGTGAAATTATTTCTAAGTGAAGTAGTGTCCTGTCGTAAATGTTGTTAAATTGTATACAACCGCTGCAATTTAGCTGTCTATATTGTGTTAAGCCACTGCCATATTGTTTAATTATGTTATATCTAAATATTCACTGATTATTGTCACGCATGTTACATATATTATTTTTATTATTATTGTCACAATAAATTATATTTTTATCATTAATTTGTGATTACTGTGTGGAGTTAAATCCTCTAGTGAAACTTCCTCTAGGATCTAAGAGAATTAAAATTGTGGATAATTCTCAGCTTTATATTATTATTCGAGGAACAGTGCCAAGATATACATTTTTAAAATAATAAAAATTATTAAATACATTTTTGATAATTTTTATGAAAATATTATTTTAATATTTATCATCCCATAAATATCCTCACACTTCCATTAAGCAGACTTACTTCACCCTCAATCTAGAGTCTTGTCTCTTATTGGGGGAAACTGCTATATCACTACAAGGGATTGCTATAATAACTATACTCCTTTGGATTCTCAGAGCTAATGTAAGAGCTATTCCTGCTTAATCCTCTGGAGGAAACTCTGGACAAACTTTCTGTAATACCCAGCTGTCCCTAGAAATGCTAAAACTTGGATCGTAGTCCTAGGGGTGGGCCACTGGGCCACAGCCTCTACTTTGGCTGGTTCGGGCTTTTGCTTGCCGCACCCCACTCTGTGTCCCAGGTATTGCACCTCGGCCATCCCTATACTGCACTTGGCCGGTTTCAATGTCAAACCAGCCTCCCTAATCCTGTCTAGGACCGCTCCTATATGGGCCAAGTGCTCCTGCCACGTATTGCTAAAAATGGCAATATTGCCCAGGTAGGCACAGGTATAGTCCTGGAACCCATCCAGGAGTCAGTCCACCATCCTCTGGAAAGTAGCTGGGGCGTTTTTCATCCCAAATGGCATGATCTTAAACTGGTACAAGCCAAATGGGGTGACAAAGGCCGACTTAGGGATGGCATCTGGGGCCAGGGAATTTGCCAATACCCTTTACATAAGTCAATAGTAGTGAGGTATTGCCCCTGGCCATCCTGTCTAGTAGTTCATCTATCCGGGGCATGGGATAGGCATCAGACACGGTTTTCTCGTTCAATCTCCTGTAGTCCACGCAGAAGCGAGTCGTACCGTCTCGCTTTGGTACAAGCACTACAGGAAAAGCCCAGGGACTATCTGAGGGCTCAATTACCCCCAGTTGGAGCATCTCATCGATGTCCTTACGCATGTTCTCCCTCACCACTTCAGGGATGCGGTAGGGGGTCTGGCGCATGGGTAGTTGCCCTGGGGTCTCTACCCGGTGAGTGGCCAGAGGGGTGTATCCAGGTACATTAGAGAACGTGTCTCGTTTCTCTTCCAATAGCTGTTGTACCTCGATACGCTCCTGGGGGCTCAATCGGTCTCCCAGTGCAACCTCCCCTAAATCTCCAGACAACTGCCCATCTCCCAGCAGATCTGGGAGCGGTAAGCTGTCAAACTCGTCAGAGTTGGGTGCACATATGGAGGTTACCTCCTCGGAGCGCTCCTGGTAGGGCTTCATCATGTTCACATGGAGCATGCATCGTCCTCCAGTCCCTGTGCAGGGGCCAATTATATAGGTGGTGTCGCATCTCTGTTCCACCACCCTATAGGGTCCCTGCCAGGCGGCCTGTAACTTGTCATGTTGGACAGGTTTTAAAATCAACACTTTCTGCCCGACCTGAAAGCTACGGTCCCTGGCTCCCCGATCAGACCATGTGCGCTGGCGGGTCTGCGCCGCCTGAAAGTTTTCCATTACCGTCCTAGTCAATGCTTCCAGGAAGGCCAACACATATGGTATGATGGGAGTGCCATCTGCGCTCCAGTCCCCCTCCCAATGCTCTCTAATCAGATCTAGGGGGCCTCTGACCCTCCTCCCAAATAGCAGTTCAAACGGGGAAAACCCTTTGGACTCCTGGGGCACCTCCCGGTAAGCAAATAGGAGGTGCAGCAGGAATCGCTCCCAGTCCTTGTGGGTCTCTGCGAAGGTTCGGAGCATTTGTTTCAATGTACCATTGAACCGTTCGCAGAGCCCATTAGTCTGGGGGTGTAAGGGGCACTGATAATAGGCTTAATGCCACAGATCCTCCAGAGGTGTTGGGTGACTTCTGCAGTAAATTGGGTACCCTGATCCGAGATAATCTCCCTGGGTAACCCCATCCGGTAGAAGATCCGCATGAGGGCATCCGCGACCGTTTCAGCGTGGATATTGGTCAGAGCCACTGCCTCTGGATATCTAGTGGCATAATCTACCACAGTTAAAATGTACCTTTTGCCTGACGGGCTAGCTTTCTTGAGAGGGCCTATCAAATCTACAGCTATTCTACTAAAGGGTTTCTCAATTATGGGTAGGGGGTGTAGTTTCGCCTTCCTTCGGTCTCCCCTTTTTCCTACCCTCTGGCAAGTATCGTACGTACTGCAATACTTGCGCACTTCCTGGCTGATCCCTGGCCAGAAGAAACTTTGGGTCAGTCTGTACCTAGTGCGACTGACCCCTAAATGTCCAGATAGCGGAATATCATACGCTATCCGGAGTAACTCTGCTTGGTACCGCTGCGGCACCACTAGCTGCCTCATCACTATCGGGTCTGACCCAGCTATCTGCTTGTCCGACTCCCTGTATAGAAGCTGCTTGTCCCAGACAAATCTCTCTCCCTCCCCTCCGGGTGAGTCAGTGACAACCTTGTCCCTATATACTTGCAAAGTAGGGTCAGTTATTACTTCAGCTGCGAATTCATTAGGTGGGGCCCAGGGGACACATTCTAAGGAAGGGGAAGGGTCTCTTATCTGAACCTCCAGGAGTGTGTTGTAGTCCTGGGTGCGTGCCTGTTGTCGGGTGACCACAGGGTGAGCTTCTCCTGTGGTTGGTGTCTGGGGCTCAAAAGCAGACGTGAGCCTCCCCAGATCGTTCCCCAACAAAACCTCAGCTGGTAACTGCGGCATCAACCCCACCTCCACGTGTCCTGACCCCGCTCCCCAATGCAAATGTACCCTTGCTGAGCTTAGCCTGATCCGAGACCAGGTGACTTTTTACCACGGTTATAGTAGCTCCTGAGTCACGTAGTCCTTGGACCGCTTTACCCTCCAAGTATACAGTTTGTCTATGGTGCTGACGGTTATCAACATTGGCATGTACTGGATCGGCTTCATGCAATACTTCCCACTGTTCCACGGTGGTAATGGGCACTGCTGAACCATGTTGCAATTATGTCCTGTGCGGCTGCTCTTGGTGGTGGTGGTGGACCTGGTCAGATCCAGGTGGAACGATCCCGCAGTTGTGGGCATTCCCGTTTATAATGTCCCCATTTCTGGCAGTGATGACAGGGCCCAGAGCTCAGCTGGCGAAATCGTGGCTGTGCAGTGGGTAGTGCTGGCGTTAGTAGTTGTCTCGGTGGTGGTGGGGTGTAGTTGGTTCCCCCAAAGGATTTTAACGCTATTTTTGGAACTGCAGGTTTTTGATGCCTGCGTGCGTCCAGATAATCATCTGCCTTCCTTGCAGCTTCTGTGAGGGATGTAGGGTTCCGGTCCCTTACCCACTCCTGGACATCTGCTGTCACCCCATCATAAAATTGTTCCATTAGTAGCATTTGTATCACGTCCTCCATGGACCGTGCCTTGCTAGCTTGTACCCACCCGAGAGCTGCCCGTTGCAACCTGCATGCCCACTCTGCATGTGAGTCCTTCTCCGCTTTCTTTAAATCCCGAAATCTCCTCCGGTATGCCTCTGGTGTTATAGCATACCGGGCCAGTATAATCTCTTTCACTCTACTGTAATTCCTGATTTCCTCATCTGGTACAGTACGATACGCCTCTGCTGCTCTCCTATTTAAACGTCCTGCCAAAATAGGTACCCAGTCCTCTGTACTGATTCTATGCAGTGTATACAGTCTTTCAAAATCTTGCAGGAAAGCGTCTATGTCTTCCTCTGCCTCCACATATGTTTTAAAAGCCTGATACGGTATTTTAGGCTTACCTTCCTGTGTCGTGTGTACTGCAGGGTTGCGTTCTGGGGTTGTTGTTGTCCGTTGCCTTAGTATAAATTCCTGGACCTCTGTCATGGTCTTGGAAATAATTTCCACTGGAGGGTGTTCTCTATAAAAAGACAGCCTAAATTGTAACTGTCTCTGGAACTCCATTTGTTCCTGTCTTTCCGCCGAATCCCCCTGTTCGGGAACCGAACCGCCATCCATTCGGTACTCTGCCATGAGTTCGGTAATAAGTACCGCTTTCTTTTTGTTGGAGATCCAGTATTCCACAAGCTATCTCTGCTTAAGATCCCAGTAAGGCTCAGGAACAAGTAATTATAAATCCATAAAGCAAGGTTTCCAGCAGGTAAAATAATCCAGTAATATCCCAACAGTAATCCCAATAACTAGACGACACACAGTATCAGGAGCAGAACTAAAGATTTATTCAGACAGTGGCCTTATAAAGCATGCTCCCATGCAAGGGAGGGATTTCCATTCATTAATACAGTAGCCAATCCTGTTCTGGTAACCTCCCACACATCCCCTCCCCTCAGCCTGCATCATAATCCCCTTATCCAGGACACCAATTCCCCGTTTCTGGATGTACCCCTAAACCTAGGGGTACCACTTTAAATTATACATCCCCTGGTAGCCCTGATCTGGGTGAACAACATATCCAAAAATCACCCAGATCAGATCAGGGGTTCGGGAAATTCATGGAGGGAATAAAATGACCGACCGCGCTGGAAGGTATAGCCGAATTGGGCTCCATGCGATGGGGCCCTGCGGTCGGTCCTGGAACAAGGGAATAAATCACACGAAAGCCTCTAGTTACAGAGACTGGGGAGGGTTCGCCTGAATCCCCTCGTTCGGTTGTTTCTACCTACCGAAAGAGGGGCCGTTTGGTAGTTTGGAACCGAACGGACCGGGCTTGTGGAGGTCTCAGCGGTGTTCGCCTAGTCGAGTGTCCGATTTGAGTTCCAGACACTCGACGGCAAAACACCGCTGTTCGGGAGTTTTAAAATGGCCGCCGCCACGTGTTCGTTTCCCGAATGGCGGCCACCCCCGAGAACAAAGGACTGCTACTCAGCTTGTCAATTACCCGATCGCAACAATGTTGCAACGGGTAATTGAAGGCACACTTCACACAGGGGAGGTCTGACTGTTCGGTAGTTTCATTCGAACATACTAAGGGAATGAAACTACCGAACAATCAGATGAACACAATACATTTAACACATATAACTTTGACATTTACACAAATGCAATCAAAACCAATACAATTCCCAGGACAGCCCAGTGCCATCCGCTACACTCTGTCACTAGTCACACCCTCCCTCACTGTCACTAGTCACACCCTCCCTCTCTCTGTCACTAGTCACACCCTCCCTCACTCTGTCACTAGAGTGAGGGGGTGACTAGTGACCGAGTGAGGGGGTGACAGAGTGAGGGAAGGGGTGACTAGTGGCAGAGTGAGGGAAGGAAGGGGTTACTAGTGACAGAGTGAGAGGATGACTGGTGACAGAGTGAGGGAGGGAGTGGGTGACCAGTGACAGAGGGAGGGGGTGACACAGTGACAGAGTGAGCGAGGTGGTGATTAGTAACAGAGTGGGGGAGGTGGTTACTGTCACTAGTCACCACCTCCCTCACTCTGTCCCTAGTCACCCCTCCCTCTGTCACTAGTCACCCCCTTCCTCACTCTGTCACTAGTCACCCCTTCCCTCCCTAACTCTGTCACTAGTCACCCCCTCCCTCACTCTGTCACTAGTCACACCCTCCCTCACTCTGTCACTAGAGTGAGGGGGTGACTAGTGGCAGAGTGAGGGAAGGAAGGAGTGACTAGTGACAGAGTGAGGGAGGTGGTGACTGTCACTAGTCATCACCTCCCTCACTCTGTCACTAGTCACCACCTCCCTCTGTCACTACTCCCTCCCTCCTTCTGTCACTACTCCCTCCCTTCTTCTGTCACTAGTCACCCCCTCCCTCACTCTGTCACCAGTCATCCCCTCCCTCACGCTGTCACCAGTCATCCCCTTCCCTCACTCTGTCACCCCCTCACTCTGTCACTAGTCACCCCCTCACTCTAGTGACAGAGTGAGGGAGGGGGTGACTAGTGACAGAGTGAGAGAGAGGGTGACTAGTGACAGAGTGAGGGAGGGGGTGACTAGTGACAGAGTGAAGGAGGTGGTGACTGTCACTAGTCACCCCCTCCCTCTCTCTGTCACTAGTGACACCCTCCCTCACTCTCACTAGTCACCCCCTCCCTCACTGTCACTAGTGACACCCTCTCTCACTCTGTCACTAGTCACCCCCTGCCTCACTGTCACTAGTCACCCCCTCCCTCACTCTTTCACTAGAGTGAGGGGGTGACTAGTGACAGAGTGAGGGGGTGACAGGTGACAGAGTGAGGGAAGGGGTGACTAGTGACAGAGTGAGGGAAGGGGTGACTAGTGACAGAGGGAAGGAAGGGGTGACTAGTGACAGAGTGAGGGAGGGAGTGGGTGACCAGTGACAGAGGGAGGGGGTGACACAGTGAGGGAGGTGGTGACTGTCACTAGTCACTAGTCACCACCTCCCTCCCTCTGTCCCTAGTCACCCCTCCCTCTGTCACTAGTCACCCCTTCCCTCCCCAACGCTGTCAACTAGTCACCACTTCCCTCCCTCACTCTGTCACTAGTCACACCCTCCCTCACTGTCACTAGAGTGAGGGGGTGACTAGTGACAGAGTGAGGGAGGTGGTGACTGTCATTAGTCACCACCTCCCTCTGTCACTACTCCATCCCTCCTTCTGTCACTAGTCACCCCCTAACTCACTCTGTCACCAGTCATCCCCTCACTCTGTCACCAGTCATCCCCTCACTCTAGTGACAGAGGGAGGGTGTGAGTAGTGACAGAATGAGGGAGAGGGTGACTAGTGACAGAGAGGGGGGGTGACTGGTGACAGTGAGGGGGGTGACTGGTGACAGTGAGGGGGGGTGACTGGTGACAGTGGGGGGGGGTGACTAGTGACAGAGTGAGGGGGGTGACTAGTGACAGAGTGAGGGGGTGACAGAGTGAAGGGGTGACAGGTGACTAGTGACAGAGGGAAGGAAGGGGTGACTAGTGACAGAGTGAGGGAGGGAGTAGGTGACCTGTGACAGAGGGAGGGGGTGACACAGTGAGGGAGGTGGTGACTAGTGACAGAGTGAGGGAGGTGGTGACTGTCACTAATCACTAGTCACCACCTCCCTCCCTCTGTCCCTAGTCACCCCTCCCTCTGTCACTAGTCACCCCTTCCCTCCCTAACGCTGTCAACTAGTCACCACTTCCCTCCCTCACTCTGTCACTAGTCACACCCTCCCTCACTGTCACTAGAGTGAGGGGGTGACAGAGTGAGGGAGGTGGTGACTGTCATTAGTCACCACCTCCCTCTGTCACTACTCCATCCCTCCTTCTGTCACTAGTCACCCCCCTAACTCACTCTGTCACCAACTCACTCTGTCACCAGTCATCCCCTCACTCTAGTGACAGAGTGAGGGAGGGTGTGAGTAGTGACAGAGTGAGGGAGAGGGTGACTAGTGACAGAGAGGGGGGGTGACTGGTGACAGTGAGGGGGGGTGACTGGTGACAGTGAGGGGGGGTGACTGGTGACAGTGAGGGGGGTGACTGGTGATAGTGAGGGGGGGGAGGGGGGTGATTGGTGCCTACCTGCATCTCTGCTCCCTCTTCTCTCCCCGGCTGCTGCTCCTTCTCCTTCTCGGCTCTGTGTGAGAGGAGTAAACAGGAAGTGATGTCACTTCCTGGCCTCTCCCATCACACAGAGCCGCATGGGAGAGGAAGCAGGAGACCTGGCAGAGAGTGGCTGAAGCTGCCAGGTCTCCATGGGGTGGGGGGGGTGACTAGCAAAACGGTAGGTTGTGGGGCCCCGCGCTGCATCAGGGGCCCCACAACCTATCAATTAAAAAGTTTTATTTTATTATTTTGCTGTTCCAGTTGGAGAGATCTCTGATCTCTCCAGCTGGAGCATGGCTGTGCTGCCGGGCCCCTGACTGCCTCGGGCCCTCGGTCCATGACCGAAGTGCCCGAGTGGTCAGTCCGCCCCTGCACTCTATAGTAAAATTTATAGATATTTACTAGCATATATACATGTTTTGGAGTCCATACCAACTTCCCAGTTTTGCACCCCTCCCTGTCACATGTGCCTTATTTAAGGGCCCTATTTAACCTTGACCTGCAGAGTGTCCCAGGAGGAAGGATTTCCCAAATAAGTAAGTTAATCTTATAAGAGCAGACATTAGGTTGTTATTATGTTACATAATAGATATTCTGTATGTTTTGGTCCATTTGCTACCATTAATAACATTTCCAGAACACATAACTTATCTTTATTTTTTCAAATTTTTTTAACAGAATATATTGCACATTTAAAAAAAAAAAAAAAAACATTTTTAGATTGCATATTAGCTAAGGTATTCTCCAGAGAGGTATTTTGTTTGCATGGCATACCAGAACAAACAAAGGTAGCCAATTTGTGTTTAAGTTTTGGATTTTTATTTTTTATTTTTTTGCTTGGAGATGATTAAAACATGTATTTTGCTCTGCTTACCAAGCAATAGAGCTGCTGAACGAGCTAATAAATCTATTGAACATTTTTGTTGTTGCTTTGTTTCCCTTAATCAAGATGGCATGGTTAACCTGCTTCCTTTTGTGACGTTTTCTCTTAATAATACTACTCCCGAATCTTCTTCAAATAGCCCTTTCTACATTGTATATAGCTGGCATCCTGTAGTTCTCCCAACTGTATTCCTCTCACAGGTGTAAAGTAAAATAATAGGTGCTCGCTATAGTATAAATTACAAGATAGGTGTGTGCTGCAGTAACCAATACAAGGATTTCCAAACCTTGTGGATAGTGAAATGTGGAAAAAGGAAGGAGGAGGCCTTCGCCCCAAACAATATATAGGAAAAACACACACACAAGGAGAATTGTAATGCTATAAGGGTGAAGGTGGGTGGGGACAATCAACTTGAACGGCAGAGGTGAGTAGGGGCTGGGAGTTTAAGTAGGGGACTCACTCCTCCCACAAATTCAGGCCTAATGGCCTTTCTATTTGTGCTTGGAATTTAATTCGTAATGGATAGTGTCTGAGATGAAAGATGGTTGTGGTATGCCGAAACCAACGTACGAGTGGGCATGTAAATAAAAGAGGGCAAAAGAGAAGTTCAAGGAAAAACACACTTTATTGCATTTAGTACATAACCAAATTCCTGAAGGCTTGGTTTAGCTCTCTTTCTGGTCGTGGTATGTACGTATGGTATATGGAGGATTTCCATCGACCTAGCCTCTTGATGATGTGGACCGGGGTGTTTGTACTAGAGGCTGATGAAGTGGCTCCTATGCGGAAGGAGTGACCAGAGAACGAAGCCGGGTTGTAGCCCAGTTTTGCTAGTAAGGTTCTGACGTGCATCATGAATTTAGCAGTGGTGAGTGTGTGCCCTTGTAGTAGTAGTAAGAGCGGAGAGTCTGGTAAGTGCATGTGATGAGTTGACCGTAGGTGGTCTCGTGCCTTAACTGGACACCAAGCATTATCAGTGGGAAAGAGGGGAATAATAGTGGGGTGTAGTGAGTAATTAGTTTTGGTAGATGGGAGTGTAAGTAAGTAGTGATCCTCCACCTTAATGAGGTGTGAGGTTTTAAGGCTGTGTGTGATATCCCCTTGACAAACAACAGTGAATTATCTGGGTCTGAGGAAACCGTAAAAAGCTATATAAATTGCAGACTTGATCACCAGGTTTGTGTTGGGATCGAATGGGGATTCATCGAGTAGATTGCTGAGTAATCTAAAGATAGGCCCATCTATTGGTAGTCTGGTTGTGGTAAGTGAAACAGAAACCTTTGAGATACCCTTTAAGACTTTCTTGATGGGGTATGATGACAAGAAGGGGGTGTTAGTGAGATATAGTTTAATGGTATTGTGAGAAAGTTTTAAATATAAGTGGCAGAAGGAGGTAAAAGCCACCATAGTTTGAGTAGAAAAATCACCTTGTAATCCGAAATCTGCTTTGAATTCATTAAAAATGGTAAGTGCCCTACTGTAGGTGACAGCTGTGTTAGGTGATGTTGCTTGGTGTGTTAGAGTCCTAGCGTGGTGCATTAGTGTGTTCAATCCAGAATTAGTGAAACCGCAGTGTCTTGGATGGCTGACAGTGGGCCGTAGGGAGTGCCTGGAAGAATACCTGGAATTGAGAGCGAGACAGTGTCAGCGGCCGTGTTGTGGATACCCGGGATGTGAAAACAGACTAAGTGGAACTGGACGGTTGCTGTCAGCCAGGTCAGCTTGCAAATTAGCAGCATGATGGTAAGGGAGGATGAGCGCCCCTTGTTTATGATATCGCAAGCTGCCCAGTTGTCGGAATAGCATTTTACTGCCTTGCCGGAACAGAGATGATCCCAGGTGTGTGCGGCCGCCACTATGGGGTAAATTTCAAATAAGGCTGAAGTCTCCCTGAATCCTGGCAAGGCATCCGTCTCAGCAGGCCAGTGACCCCTGAACCAGTGATTACCGAAGACAGCTGCGAAACCAGTGTTGGCTGCAGTGTCTGTGTGAAAGATGAGTGAGGAGTCGGAGAGAGGTGGGATAAACATGGAGATACCGTTCTACTCAGCCAAAAACTTCCCCCACATGAGTAGGTCAGCCTTGGCGTGCTGGTCCAATGAAATTGGGCAGGAGTCCGGTACCCCGTGAAGCAGGCAGAGTAGCCTGGATACGAATGACCTACCCTGCGGAATGATGTGCATCGCAAAATTTAGGGACCCCAATAGGGACTGAAGTTCCCTTCTGGGGCATGCATCATTCTGCAGGAACATGTCTATCTCCCCTCTCAAGCGGACCAATTTGTCGGGGGGAAGGCTGTCTCGGAAGGTACCAGAGTCCAGCTCGATCCACAAGAAGGTTAGTTTATTAGTGGGACCGATGGTTTTGGAGGGTGATAAGGGTACACCGAGTGTGGAAAAAAGTGCTGAGGATATTAGTGGGTGTACGTGTGCCTGGTTCTATCAGTAGGAAGTCGTTCAGATAGTGAATGACTGAGTGACACCTGAGAATGTTTAGAAGCAGCCAGCATAGTGTTTCTGCGAATATATCAAATAGTTTGTGGCTGCTTCTAGACCCGAAAGTGAGTCGTGTGGAAAAATAGTATCTGTCTCGTCATTTAACACCGTGCAAATGCCAGAGTGATGGGTGCATGGGTAGTAATTTGAATGCGTTTGTTATGTCTGTTTTGCTTAGCCAAGCGTTTCTACAAGTTGAAATGATGGATTGTATTGCATCGTCAATTTTAACGTACTGTAATGAAAATTCTTCTGCAGGTATGAGTGAGTTAATGCTGGGAACAAAAGAGATGTGCAGTGCCGATAAATCGATAATCAGTCATTTTTTATTAGAATATTTGTGCACAGCTATACCAATGGGATTAGTGTGCCAAGAGGAAAAAGGTGAGGAGGTGAAGGGGCCGATCATGAAACCATGTGAGATTTCAGAGGAAAGGAGAGTGTCTGTGGGTACTGGGTCTTGGCAGGTTGGGACATTCAAGTGTGCCTGAGGGGATGGCTACGAGACCCATGAGAAAACCCTGTGTGAATCCCGTGGTCAAATACTCCACCAAATGCCTGCTCGGATGAGGTCTCAAATAAAAAAACAGGTTGTCGACATTGATGTCGGTTAGTCATTTGTTAGGGGAAAACCTGGCCAGACACATGGTCTTCATGT